CTCTCTCTCTCTCTCTCTCTCTCTCTCTCTCTCTCTCTCTCTCTCTCTCTCCCTCCCTCTCTTGCTGTAAGTATAAATATAATGTGTATAGCCTATGTAATATGTTATGTATTGTTCGTATTTATGGCATATTTAATAAAAATCGTAGTACATACTTTACATTATGAACATACATGTTTTTCTTTTCTTTTCTTTTGCAATCATACAAACATGCGCCGCAAGCACACACGCACTCAGGTGCGCGCGCCTGCACGCACACACACACACACACACACACACACACACACACACACACACACAGAGAGAGAGAGAGAGAGATAGAGAGAGAGAGAGAGAGCCAGAGAGAGAGAGACAAAGAGACATACAGACAGACAGACAGAGACAGAGAGAGACAGAGACAGAGACAAAGACAGACAGAGACAGAGACAGAGAGACAGAGACAGAGACAGAGAGACAGAGAGACAGAGAGACAGAGAGAAAGAAAGATAGATAGAGAGAGAGAGAGAGAGAGAGAGAGAGAGAGAGAGAAAGAGAGATGTACATAATATGTGTATTTGTATTTCATACAATGACCTGTACACAATAATATACACACATAAATTACACATGTATAATTTTCACAAAAACACTTCACACATACTCACTCACACAAATGTATATCATTTACTGACAGTAAAATTCTAAGGTTTCCCTACAGAGAGAATTGAGGCAAGGATTCTGGAGGGCCAGTTTCGATTGTATACTGTGAGTTGTTTTATAATCTTTAAAAAACTTAATTAATGAAGACTTCTTTCTCTTCCAATCTTAATAATAATCGGTGGATCATCACTGTGTTGGTTCACAGGAGATCTGTACGAATACAACGTACAATGTAGGGAACTCTTTTTGCTCTCAAGATCATTATAAAATTATTATTCATTCGTAGACTTATTCTCAGATTCTCTCCTGTGGCGATTAAAAACAACAACGCAGAAACAGACAGACAGACAGACAGACAGACAGACAGACAGACAGACAGACAGACAGACAGACAGACAGACAGACAGACAGACAGACAGACAGTGTGTCTGTGAGAAAGAAAGTTTGAGTGTGTGTGTGTGTGTGTGAGTGTGTGTGTGAGTGTGTGTGTGAGTGTGTGTGTGAGTGTGTGTGTGAGTGTGTGTGTGTGTGTGTGTGTGTGTGTGTGTGTGTGTGTGTGTGTGTGTGTGTGTGTGTGTGAAAGAGAGAGAGAGAGAGAGAGAGAGAGAGAGAGAGAGAGAGAAAGAGAGTGTGTTTTTGTGTGTGTGTGTGTTGTGTGTGTGTGTGTGTGTGTGTGTGTGTGTGTGTGTGTGTGTGAGAGAGAGAGAGAGAGAGAGAGAGAGAGAGAGAGAGAGAGAGAGAGAGAGAGAGAGAGAGAGAGAGAGAGAGAGAAAATGGATGTTGGGTGATGGGGTGCCAGCAGGGATGACGGCATTGTCTTATGAAAACGTCAATGATGATGAAGAATAATTACCATTTCAACTCCTCGAAGAAAGTGCACAAAACTGCAAGAAGTGCGTAGATTTTCATTTTTCTCCACATTGAGAACGAATTTTTGATGGTGCTGTTTTAGTGTTATTTATATAAACAAACATATGCTGACATGTGTATAGTAACAATCTTCTGACATGTGTATAACAACAATCTTATCCTCTCGAAAACAAGCGGAGAAGCGGTGCTGTTGATATCATTCCATGCACACTCTGAACAACGCTACACATTATAAACCTGTCTGCTTATCGTCACACGCTATTCCACAAGAATAAAAATATACTTTCACTTTGACGATTTAGAACCACGTAAAAGACAGAACTATTATTACAGAAGATGTTGTTATTGTAATACGCATTGTACATTGTAGTGTTTTGACGAAATATTGCCTTAAGCACACTTTTGAGAATCTAAGTAGTGGACACGTTTTACATTACACAGCACGACAGAAACCGACAACGTGGCCAAGCACCGTATAAGATTTAGAGTCAAGGCGACGCTGAAGACACGTCACTCCCCGCGACCAAGGTAGGCTTGGCCGCACACAGCTGATACGGATAATAATAGTATAATACAATATTCGATTTGAGAAAAGGCAGCGAATAGCAAACGAACTAAACAGATTTTGAATTTGCACTGGGGTGTGGTGAAGTGATGGAATGATGTAAAGAGTGGATAAAAGAAAGGTGGGGGCCCCTGGGGGGGGGGGGGGGGGGGGGGGCAGGGGTTAACACAAGAAAAAAACAAACATGTTTTTTAAATTAAAAAAAATCCAAAATTTTTGGGGGGCCCGGTGGGCGGTGGTTAACCCGGGCCCCAAAAGTGGTTGTGTGTGCTGCTTTTTGGGTGGTGGTTGCGCGGTTGGGCTTCCCGCCTTGGGGTGAGATAGTGAATGCTATTTTGGTTATTTTTTTTAAGGTAATTTTGAAAGTATATATTTGATAACGTTTCCGTCTTTCCTCACAAAAACCCCCCCAGGGGGCTCCCGGGGCCAGAGAAATAAAGGGGGTGGTTTTTTTCTCTCAGAGAGGCCCGGGGTTGAAGCCCCGGGGGGGGGCGCCAAAAAAATTTTTCTCTCTTCCAAAAATATCCCTCTTTTAAATTTTTTTTTCTGGGCTGAAAAAAAAAATTTAGGGGCGTGTGTTTTTCTTCTTTTTTTTTTCGCCCCCCCGCGCCCCATTTTCTTGTTCGCCCCCCCTTGTGGG